CCCCCCCCCCCCCCCCCCCCCCCCCCACGACCTGCAGCCCTCCCGCAGTGATAGCTAAGCCAAGAAGCGCAGGCTGGAAGAGGCCAGCTTGGGAGCATGGCTGGTTCTCCGAGGAGAGGGCAGCATGGGGGAGCAGGCGGGATCTGGGCTCAGCCAGCAGCAGTCCCACAGGGCGACAGATGGCCGGGGAGGTGAACCCTGCCGCGGCACAGGGCCACTCCAGACACATGTGGGAGTAAGGATACATGGTGCTGGGGGAGGCCTGGACACGTACAGGGACAGGCACACGCAGTGGCAGGGCAAGGGGCACTGCACACCCACTGGGCAGAGCGAGGGAGGGGGTGTGCATTGGCGTCGAAAGTTTGTAGCCACAATATCAAGAGTGGCAGCTAAGCCCTGGGTGCCCAGCCTGGACCCCAGACAGGCTGAGCCCTGCAGCACCCAGTCACTTTGTGGAGCTCCTTTCCCGATCTGAGAGCCAGGTCCTGGTGCCTGTGGCTGGCTGAGCGCAGGGTTCAGTGCTGCCAACGCTTGGCCTTGGCAGCTGAGCAGAACGCAGGGGCCAGCCCTGCTGTCCTGGGCTGGGTGGGTCCCTGGAAGCCGGGGGATGGGCCAGCCAGCTGGCTGGGGGTGGCCTTCCAAGAAGAATATAGGGAGAGGCGTTCTGGAGCAGAGCAGGGATGAGGTCACCCACACCAGAGTGTGCCTCATGGGGCCAGGAGAAACATTCCAGGAAAAGCCTCTGGGGTCATGTGTGGTCACAATGTCATTCTCCCCAGCAGACACAAACTTAGGAACATTCCCTTCCTGGGCCTTAGCTGTATCCAGAACCAACTCTGGGTCAACTGACAAATTCTTAAGTAGCATAAACCGAGAAGCACTTTCTGTCTGCTCCACAGACAAAAGCCTGGCGGTACATTCTCCTTCATTAGGCACACTGCTATTTGCAACAGACAAACAACTGAAACCAGTTTTTCCTTCAACAGATAAACTGTTGCGTTCCACAAATCGTGTCTCACTACACTGATTTCAGAGTGGTAGCCGTGTTAGTCTGTATCAGCAAAAACAATGAGGAGTCCTTGTGGCACCTTAGAGACTAACAAATGTATTTGGGCATAAGCTTTCGTGGGCTAGAACCCACTTCATCAGATGCGTGGAGTGGAAAATACAGTAGGCAGATATAAATACACAGCACATGAAAAGATGGGAGTTGCCGTACCGAGTTGGGGAGTCAATGCTAACGAGGCCGATTCAATTAGGATGTGGCCCATTCCCAACAGTTGACAATAAAGTGTGAGTATCAACAGAAGGAAAATTATTTTTTGTAGTGACCCATCCACTCCCAGTCTTTATTCAGGCCTAATTTGATGGTGTCAAGTTTGCAAGCTACACCGAGCTGCTTTAAACAAATAATTTCTACCCTTTTCGGGCTTACTTTCACAAACTTTACTAGCTAACAATTCATCACTTACCAAGACCCCTTCCTTCCTCAGTTAGGGCTTTAACCTGATCACCAACTTTAATTTGCTCTAGAGAAACATTTCTCTGAGCCCTATCGAATGCCAGATTCACTTCTGAGATACCAGACTGATACTCAGCAATTTCTTCCACATATGCACTGCCTTTTGGCACAGATAAACAGCTATCTTTCTCCGACAAACATTTGGAGAAACCCTCCATAGGCAAATCCTTGCCCCAAGTAGACACAGGTTCAAGATTATTTCTTTCCTGTGACTGATTTATGCCAACCGGACTGAACAAAGCTTTAAAATCATCCCCAATCAAAAGATCCTTAGGCAATAACTTCCTTGCACAAGCTATAACTTCGTGTTTAATACCATTGCATTCAAGATGGATTCTGGCTAAAGGCACATGTATAGTAAACGTATAGTGGATTACAATATTCACAGTCTGATTTGGTAAATAATCTTCCTTTTTGATAAGATCTGCTTTAACAAGAGTGATGTCAGAAGCTGTAATTTGCCCTAAACAGCTTTTACCATTGACTTTTACATTCTCTGCACAAGTTATGGGGTTACCTTCACCTGAGCTCACAGTAGAAGCATTTACATAAAAGGTAAATTTGGTTACACACAGACAACTGCTTAGAGTCAAACAACCGACCAACACTGTTACAAACCGGATAGAGTCAATCCCCATCTTTGCTGCTGAGAGGAGCTGGCTTTTCAGGATGATACAGTTTCTGTTGTTCCTTTATTCTCTTGAGTTGGAGCTTACGTCTGTCCACTTTTGCCTTAGCTTCTACGTCCTGCAATCGAATATCTGCCATTCTTCAGGGCCTCATCTTACTACAGCTAGGATGTTCTTTTGATATCTGAACTATCAGAATACAGCATAGACAGGGACAGTTGATTACATTGTATGATTTACACTGTACATTGATTAGATGTATGATCCTACTCATACATATGTAAATGCACAAAAACACAAACATTATCTCCCCACATGTCTTTTGAGGGTTATTTATTTTGCAGGATGTTTAACCCTTTCTGGCCAGGCGTGTCAGACCCATCCCCAGGAACGTTAAGAAGAAATAAACATGACTTCCGTGGGCAAAGCTTTGTCTTTAAAGGGCCATCGCCAGTGAAAGCCAGGCTGCAGGCTGCAAACACCGGCTTTGCCAAACCAAGCAGATGTCTCCCCAGTGTTACCTAAAATAGTCCCAAGAAGAGTTGTTTTAAAGCAAACGCGTTTCCTGGCAGCATATGAGCCAGCCCTGCTGCACCGAGGACCTGAGAGCAACGCTGACTTCAGGGGTGCCACTGGCCGAGCTGAGAGAGCCTCTCGAGCCCCAGGCCCTGCTCTTCCAGACACCCCGAGTGATCATGGACAAGTCCTCAGTTGCCACCTGGACCCCAGAAATCACAGCCCTGCCCTACTGCACGGAGGGAGGGGAATGTTAAATACTGCAAAGCGCCAAGACTCAACGGTGATGCGGGGGGTGGTGGGGGCAGATAATTACCCGAGAAGACAGAGGGATTTTTTAAAAATCTCTGCGCTGTCTATTCCCGGAGAAGGCTAGCTAGCTCCCGTAGGGGTCATACTGACCTCGGCCACTCTGCTAAGCCTGCAGCCAGAGAGGGCAGGAGAAACAGACTCGCCAGCCCCCGAGAAGTGGCTGCTCCTGGTTCACTGTCTGTGGGGAGCCTGGTGCGGAAAGGGGGCACTGTTCTGAGCCAGGAGTCTGTTTGTGTCACGGCGCTGGCAGTTCCCCTCGCGCCAGGGCTGGCTAGTGCGCAGGCTTGATGGCAGGCCGGGCGCTCAGAGGGAAGGCTGCCTTTCCCCGGCCTTTCCCCGGCCAGCCTCACTATTAGTCTGTCCAAGTACGGTGCGTGGCCAACCTGTTCCCCTGCAGCTGAGAGGGGACGTGGGAAGATGGGAAAGTCACCCACCCTGCTTGGCCAGGGCTCCTGTCAGGGACCTTAAACAAGATTATCTGGAGCCCAAACCAGCCCTCTGGAGCCTGCTCGCCATGTGGTGTGTGTGGGGGAAGAACGGGACACCCTGGGGCCACATCCCTCCTCATGTCGGCGAGACACCTTGCGCGCGTATGGCGCTCTACAGCCAAAGATCATGGCCCTGGCTCGGGGCTCTGTGCCCCCCAGCCCCGCACCGGCTCCCCCTCCCCACACAGCAAACAAAGTAGGTCCTTCCTGCCAGCTGGCCCCAGGAGCGCACCCCTGTGCTAGGCCGACAGCCACCCCGGTGCCCGGGCACAGCTCCCCCCCCCGCCCCGCCCGGGCACAGCTCCCC